GATATTTCTAGGTTTTTACTGATTAAATTTTTGTTTTAAAAACTACTTTGGCTCACATCGGAGTGCTGTTTGGAGACCTGGCTGCTCTGCTTCCAATCCAGCTTTCTGCTAATGTGCCTGGGAAGGCAGCAGAGGGTGGCCCAAGAGCTTGGGCCCTTGCCATGGGAGACCCAGATGGAGTTCCTGGCTCCTGGCTTTGTCTTGGCCCAGATCTGGCTGTTGCAGCCATTTGGGAAATGAACCAGTGGATAGAAGATCTTTCTCTCTCCCTCTCTCTGTATCACTCTTTTAAATAAATGAATGAATTTTAAAGAAATTGAACAACACTTTGGAAGATAAATATCTTAGCTCAGTATTCTGGAATTGATAAAATATAGAAAATTTGGATGCTGTGATATTTTCTGGTTTCTGAGTTCGTTGGGTATCCTAGATTCTGGAATAGTCATAGATTCCTGCTAGCATGCGCCAACACTTAAAAGATGGTTTAGAGAGAAAGAAATCTTTATGGAATGAGTTGTTCGACAAAGCTGATATGGGAATGAGGTAAAGCTAACTTTGTTCTTACCACTTTTTATTTAAAATTAAGACATCTGGGTTATTTTACATCTACTAACTTGCTAGCAGGAAAAACAAATACCTTGAACTGCAATTACTGTGCAAATAATATTTACTACCTCAAGAATTCTATGAGATTAACTTGTGTAGGCAACAAGCCATAAATGAAAAGTAAGAAATCTCAATTCCAAATATTTTTCAAATTAAAAACTAATTAAAATTTAAGTTAATTTAAAATCACCATACTCACAGACCCAGAAATTAGTGTCCCCCCCCCCCCCTTTAAAGCAATATAAACTAGAAAGGGTCCCTCTCTTTGCTATTGTTCTCAAGCGGTTCAAGGTTTTCAGCCTCCTATTGTGACCACAGTCATGCTCAATTATTTCCTCCCTGGAGCAGCAAGAAGAGAACAGATAGAGAAATTAGCCTGGGACTTGGGAATGAAAGAAAGCCAAATCCAAAAACTCCTCACTCAATCCCTCAGACACAAATGCTCTCCGTTTATCCATGTCCGGCATGACTCAAGGTACCCTAAACATTCTTCTGTCCGATGAGCTTAAGAGTTTTGAAATACATGTTGAGAATCTACGAGAGTGAGAAAATGAGGCATTTGTGTTCCGTAGAGCACAAGTTAGTGACTTTGCAGGGAAGGATACAGTGTCATGAGAAAGAAGAAATGGGATGTGGGGCTGATTTTTTTTCCAGGATTGGAAAACATGCCATCGTTGCCAGATATTGTAGCAGAGACAGATGGCATGGCAGATGCTGTGAAAGAAAAATGACTTACTACTAGGTGAACCAGAAAAATAAACAAGAAGGACAGAGGAAAAAGTATGCAAGTGCCCCTCTGTTGTCGGGAACATCTTCCCAGAGCCCTAAAATGTGTAATTGTATTCCCTAGGGATTGCAAAGGAAACGTCTCACTCCTTTCTCTACTGCTGTGTATTTGGAATTTACAGCCATTCTCTTGAGAGAACTTCCCTTTTATCTATCGATTTTCTAAGGAAGAAGGGAAGGCGACAACTAATTGGATAGTCAATGCCGATACATTATGAACGAGAGGCTGCAGCTCATCTTGTCCTGGCTCTGTTGGCTGCTTTCTGATATGTAGAAACTGGATGAAACTCATCTTGGTTTATTTTAGAAATGCTCCCAATTAACATTAGCTCTTGGTACAAATCACATGAATGGAGATGACATTTTAATCACATTTAGATGGAGGTGGTTTAAAATGTGTCTTGGAGATAGATACCCGATGTGGGCTCACATGACACTTGACGTTTGCATGTGGATTGTTCAGTGTTCCCAAGCTGTTGAATTCTACTCTACTTGGGATCAGTGGTGAAGAATTAGTGCTCCGTTGGGCTGGGCTCCCTCATTTGGAAAGTGCTTTTGATCCCCTGGGGAATAAAATAGGTGTCTGAGCAAAACGGAAGGTTGCATATGTTGTGGCTTCCTGGAGTAGACAAGGAATTGTTTAAACAAATAAAAACGATCCGCAAGTGCTAAGGGTCTAATATATGAGAATACTTCAAATGATTAACAGAAAGCTGGAATTAAAATATACATTTATTTTTGGTGCAAAGTAATTTTGAAATCCATACATAGTTTTTTCATAATAGTTTCCCATGGATTTTTTTGAAGTACACTCATGTGTAGACTTCACATGAAAATTCAATAATATGTGCTTGGCAATCATTGTGTCACTGAATATTTGACAGGATTGGATGCAACTGAGGCTAAAATAACCAATGTGAGTTGTTGAAACAAGAAAAGTATATGAATGAGATTAAGATTTTCCTGGCATTACAAAAAAAAAAAAAAAAAAAAACAAAAAAACAAAACCAGAACAGGGGTGTAGCGCAGTGTGATGACGGCTTTGTCACCATATTTAGGGCAGAAATTGAACAATTAAAGACTGTAGAGTAACACTGACTAATGAAAGTTACTGTAAGGTTGCAAGAGTCATTTCAGTTATTGGTAATATTTGTTTTAACTATTGTTTTTAGAAATACTAAATGGTAGAGCTTACTGTTTATGAACAACTTAAGTTCACACACGTGTTTGGTTGGCAAAAAAATCTTAGCAACATGGCATCCAGAGACAGCTCAGTTACCATTTTCTGCATTTTGTTGAGGAGTAAATGCAGCCAAGTCCCACCTGGGAATCCCTGATTCTTTATTTCCTATTTCAACTCTTTAGTCCCAGATCTGTACTTTCTTCTGTGTAGAGAGCGCATTTTCAGACACTACTCTCAAACTGGCATTTCAATAGGGCCCACCTTGGAACAAATGACTAAACCAAGCTTGGGGATATACACTTCTGAAAGGCAGAGAAGCACACAAAGAAGCTATTTCAGTCCAGAGGAAGTCCTTCATGAGATCTGTCTGCAGAACTCCCTGTGAAGTCCTTCTCTGAAAAAACCTGGCAGCTTGGAGGGCCCGCTGGGTGAGGGGGAGCAGCCTGGTTCTGCCATAAGCAGGCGGATTGCTGCTGGGCCACAAAACATCGTGTTCCTTGACCTTATCAGCAGGTGCAAATCTCCATTGCTTGCCACCCTTTATTATGCTTCTGAACCTGGACCTGACTCATGTTCAAGTGGCTTCCTATTCTGCTTTATTGAATTTTATATAAGAAACTTTGGGAAAATACACATTTTCTCTGATTCTAGCTGAGGTTAGACAATTCTGCAGTTACAAAGTTCATCAAACAGCAATCTATTGTTTAAACTTTGAAACTCCTTTTTAATAATTTTCAACACTTACTCAATGTTTATGCAAGACATATTATTAGCTTGTTAGTATCACATGGGTTGGCTGCTAATCGAAGATTTCCTCCTTCTTTCCTAGATGAAATGCAAATTGTGTTTGCTGTTTGAGAGACTCCTACAATATATCCCTACATTTAAAGGCAGAAAAGGACAGAGGCGGAGAGGGGGCAAAGGATACCAAAAAAAATCCCAGATATCTTGTTGTTCCATGCATGCTGTCGTTGCAAAGGACCCTGTCCTAGAGAAGAAAATAGTCACTAGCTACCTTCATTGTGAAGCAAGTGCAGTCTTCCACGGGTTTCACTAAATGGCATTTTTTGACACTTCTGTTTTAATGTATCAATAACTATTTTGTGACATCATATTCTCCTTGCAGTATAGTTCTTATACTAATAAAATGTCTATGTCTTGCTTTATTAAACATCAATCTTTTCTTTGACCAAAATATGCATTTTAATGTCATTTCTATTGATAATTTCTAATATGGATACACTTTATAGTAAATTCCCAATTTACCCAGAATTAAGAAAGCAGAAAACTCTAGGAGAGAATTAGTTATAAAAATGTATATATTTCACATACTTCTGTAGTTAAGAAATATATAAGTGGCAAGGAAAATAACTTCTACAACAGTTTTTACGGTCAGAAATTCTACCTAGAAAAATCCATATGTACTCATACACTTCTTCAATCACTTGTACTTTTCCATAACTTCCGTAACCATTCTATATCATACGGCAAGAAGAAATCTTCACAGAAACTCATTTATTTCAAGATCTTGAACTACCTTGTGACTCATCAAGCACGAAATTACTTACAGGGTAGTTTTGTGTGGATTTTACACTGTTCTAATTCTTTGAAAAATGCGAATCTATATCATATTGTAAAACTCAAGTAACCAAAGCATTCCTTTTTCTTCCTTTCTCCCAACAGTTTCGTCCTCCATCACCTCACGTAAGTGGTATTCCGTATGATTATAAGCCTCGGTGGACTGGAACACCCTTTTTAATTCACCCTTCCAAACTACCCTCTTACTCAAGAACCCTGGGCAGGTTTTGTAAACAAGTGTATATTAGAGAAAACCTGGTGTCCAGAAGGTTCTGCAAGTTTCCACAGAAAGCAGCCTGGAACAGCAGGAATAGAAGGCGACAACTATTGCAGTTGCTCAAGAATGAAACAACCACACTGCAACAAAGGCGCTCGCCTTGAAATCGCTCTTTCCATGGAGGGATCTTATTTCAAAGTCATTCTTCCTGTAAAACCTTTGCTTTGTGACCACACTTGGCCCATGTCATCGCAGACCAGAAACTACTCAGACTTAGGGTCACGATCATTGCAAAGACCCTCACTCCAGACTAATGATGGCTGGGTTATAAATTCCCTGTCTGATAGATTTTATTTATTTATTTTTTAGATGATGAAATCACAAAAGTGAGATGACTCTGGGAGCAGTGAGGCCTGAAATGTGGGAGGTACAACGCCAGCGCCTTTGAAGCTGCTGGCTGTAGAGCGCTGCTTGCGGGGTGAACACTGAGGCTGGAAGGTGTCTCTCAGGGTTTGATTTTCCCTATTCAGTCAGCCCAGTCTCAACATAGTTCACCTCCTACTGCGAGTGAGCAAACCCCCGAGCTACACTCAACAATTCTGGGGCCTCGTGTCCAGTTTCCTCACTCACCTTCCATGGGGGTGTTACTGTCTGGGCGATTGGCGAAGACCACATCCACGTACTCCAGTTGCAGCCGCTGGAGGGAGCCCTTCAATCCTGAGCAGAAGCAGGAAAAACCCAAAAAAATCCAAATATGAGCACTATTAGAAAGTATTGACGTTTGGTTTCCTTCATGAAGCTGTTTTTAAAAAATGCATTGGATTAGTTTCAAAAATACATTGACTGCAATGATGTGTCAACTGGCCCTCAAACCCATTTAAAAATATCTCAGAGCTGACTTTGCCTGCAACAAAGAGAAGTCTTAGAACTTCTTCAGTGACTGGCATTGCCATTGGACAACACATCCCTTGGAACGATCTTCCGTGACTCATGTGTGGCAACATCCAGAAACAAGGCTTAGAATAAACACCAAGGGCTGCTGCTGTTGGCGCAGTGAGTGAAGCCACTGCCTGCAGTGCCTGCATCCCTTATGGGTACCAGTTCAAGTCCCGGCTGCTCCACTTCTGATAAAGCTCCCTGCGAATGCTCCTGGGAAAGCAGCAGAGGATGGCCCAAGTGTTTGGGCCCCTGCACCCACATGGGAGATCTGGAAGAAGCTTCTGGCTTCAGATCAACCCAGCTCCAGCTGTTGCTGCCATTTGGAAAGTAAACCAACAGATAGAAGATCTCTCTCTCTCTCTCTCTCTGTCTGTCTCTCTGTTTATCTCTTTAACTCTGCCTTTCAAATAATAAATAAAAAGAATAAAAAGTAGTGTCTCTTTTAAGAGTTTACTTTTTCTTCTTGAAAGAAGCAAATTAATATTTATGTTTTGAATTACTTAATGGACTTATGGTGGGATGGAGCTAGTTTTATTACACATCAACCCATTAAATTTACATAAATCAGAAATAAACGATTGCTTTAACCACATTTAGTGTACACATGGATTTTTTTTCTTTTTTTTTCAGGTTTCACTTTTTTTTTTTTTAACTTTTATTTAATGAATATAGATTTCCAAAGTACAGCTTATGGATTACATTGGCTCCCCCCCCTCCAGTGACTTCCCTCCCACCCGCAACCCTCCCCTTTCCCGCTCTCTCTCCCCTTCCATTCATATCAAGATTTATTTTCAATTTTCTATATATACAGAAGATCAGTTTAGTATACATTAAGTAAAGATTTCAACAGTTTGCACCCCCATAGAAACACAAAGTGAAAAATACTGTTTGAGTACTCGTTATAGCATTAAATCTCAATGTACAGCACATTAAGGACAAAGATCCTACATGAGGAGTAAGTGCACAGTGACTCCTGTTGTTGACTTTACAAATTGACACTCTTGTTTATGGCATCAGTAATCTCCCTATGCTCCAGTCATGAGTTTCCAAGGCTATGGAAGCCTTTTAAGTTCACTGACTCTTATCTTATTTAGACAAGGTCATAGTCAAAGTGGAAGTTCTCTCCTCCCTTCAGAGAAAGGTACCTCCTTCTTTGAAGACCTGTTCTTTCCACTGGGATCTCACTCACAGAGATCTTTCATTTAGTTTTTTTTTTTTTTGCCAGAGTGTCTTGGCTTTCCATGCCTGAAATACTCTCATGGGCTTCTCAGCCGGATCTAAATACACATGGATTTAATAGTAAAAGAAAGAGGTTAGCAAGCAAAGGGTTTATGTGACATTTTATTAATTGGAACTAAGGTTAAAGAATCTGAAATATAGCTGTGCCCCATCATTTCTATCATTTCCTCCTCTTCAATAATAAACAAAAACACGAAGAGGAGGTACTAGAAAGGAGAGAGTGAGAACATACACACAAAAATTCTAGAACCAACAGCCTGTTTGTCAGCTCTAAGCATTTCGTCACATTTCTATGAGGACTCAGAAAAAATTAATTTCAATAAAATTAATACTTCCCTGAAATAGAATGTATTGTATATAATATTATGTAACCAAGGATGGCCGTCTTCAGGAGTCATTTTATCTCATTTTTCATGAGGCACCGCATTTCCTTATCAGCCTCTGCAATTCCCTGAGAAGACCGGAGATTTTTCTCTTTTTATTACAGGCATAAAATTAATTGCATGTTAAATGAGGCTCTTATAAATTTAAATTTGGCTCATTTAAATTTGATTTTTCAAACTGGTTTATCAGCCAGCCACAGTTACTTTGCTGACGGGAAAATGGAATGCTTGAATATAGTTCCGGAAATATTTGCTGTTCACGGAGAACGGGTTGTCTGTAAAGTGGAGGTGGCTTCTTAGAAGCCTTGATGAAGAGATTGGGGCAGCCACGTGTCAGGAGGTCGAACGCCTGCTCCTACAAAACTGTCGAGAGTCTCAGGCCCTGGGTATCACCAGCTATCTCAAGAAGCAGCTTGAAATTAAGTTTACCTTAACAAAGGCTGTGATATGAGCCATGTGATACGTGTGTAGGGAGGAGGTAAGGGGATAGCCAAGCAAGCAAACAAGAATCCCAAGGTCTGCAAGGTTGGAAATGTGTGCTCTAACATGCGTGCTCTCTCCCTTGGGTGCTTTGACTTTTCTTCCTGTGACTACTGTCTAGCCTGCTGCGGGGCTACAGTCTAAGAGTACTTAGATCTTCAGAATCGTTGATCCAGAGTGCTGTGGAAGGGTATACAGAGATCTAGTGTGCTAATCATACCGCGGTGTTCACATCTGGAAATGTTCAGAGGGAGAGAGCCAAAGACTAAATGCTCCCCATTTTCACCGGACCCCCTGGTTTGGGAGGGAGGCATTAACTGAGTTCTGGCCCAAGCCTGGCACTGGAAACAAATGTCCATCCTTCTGATCATGACCCCCTTTCCACTCTGCCTCTTTCAAACAGCTCCACGTGGGCTAAGAGTTAAGTAGGTGAGGAAGCTATGACTTATTTGGCACAGTTGTAAGTTGTAAGGCTGCATGATCAGGTATTTCATGAACTAGGCATGACTTGAGTAATTGACTATTCCATGCCACCAAGATGAATTAGGTTCCAATTTGATCGTGCCACTGTGCCAGACTCTGGGTTTACAGGTGCACAGTCTTCATCCCTAAGGAGCCAAGAGTGCACATGGAAAGCATATACTGGCCTAAGTTCATTGTTCGAAGTTATAATGTGTGCCCGTAATGACACAGACTTGATATGAAAGCAAGTCTCGTTGGATTTGGTTATTCCTCATACTCTGTCTTGATTTTGGGCAAAGACTCTAGTGTACTCATGTAAGAATATAAGAAACGGTGTGCTGTGTCAGCCGTCACCCCTATGCCAGCTTTGTATCCATAAGACACACTGGCTAGCTACTCACTCTGAAAGTTTGGGCATGGATTTTGGATTTTCTTCTATGTGAAGTTTAGAAACATTGGCAAGTGGCAAGAGAGTGGTGGGGAGTAAAGGGGGAGGGATTAAAGGGGGAGGTGGGAGGCAGTAACCTGAGTTTTCTGGTTGGAACTGATGGCTCTGCCTGTAGGGGAAGAAGAGTCAAAGCAGCATGGAGACCAGGGCGGCCACTCTGAAGCGCACACAGGTCAGAAGAAGAGGAGCAGCGGATGTGCTGGACACAGGATGTAGAGCTGAGAGGCATCAAGGGAGACTCTTCGGTGCTTGGCCTGACAAGGGAGGTGACTGTTCCTAAGATGAGGAAGTGAGGGACAAAGCTGGCTGCAGGGAGTGGTGGGAGCTGGGTTAGGTCGAGGTGACACATCAATCACCCGCGCGCAGCTTTGGCAGCTGGATGGACTGCTCTTGCGTTCAAGGGAGGTGAGTGAGGCACAGGGTTTGAGACCAAGGGTAGTCATTTGGGTGGACCTGAATAACCTCCAGATGTCCTTAGCCTCTCACAGCCTGTTCCTTATCTACCCAAAGATAAAAGGGAGCAAGATAGTCTTTCTGCTTTGATCTCTCCTGTGGCTGAAAATCTAATCAGGTAGCCTTGCCCTTTTCTGTTTGGGTGCATTAATCTTGTAGGAACAGGTCCATCATAGGAATAGAAAGACATGATCAACATTGGTCTCCATAAGAGCCATTTAGGGTATAGCTCCAACCAACAAGCAGTCATGTTCTATCTCCATTTAGCAAGTGTTTGTTGAGCACTGGCTGGGGGCCAGGCATTGTTTTAAGTTTAAGTAGACATGCAAAAATGCATTAACCTTGGCTCCAGACAGGAGTGGGGGTGTAATCAAAACCTAAGGAGGTAAGTGCTCAAGGGCAGCGAGTGCACTTGCAGAAGGCACTTCTGACGTTAGCCAGTCCCTGGGCACCAACCCAAGGCCTGGGGTGGGGGGTAAATGCAAAGAGAAGCAGAAGAAACCTCCCTGCCCATGAGGAGATAACTAGATGTTAACTGGCCATCTCTCAAAAGCCCACAGGATAATAAATTATGTAAAGAAAATTGCTTTCAAGAAAGTGAGGACAGTAAAAAGAAATCTAAGCTCATTTTTCCTTAGGTTCTGCAGTTGAACAGGAACCATATTGTTTAGAAAGTGAGCCTTAGTTCAACTTTATCCTATTTCACAAGTTTCTAAAGAAATATACCTATTCCAGAAGCTAAGCAGATTGGCACGGGTAGAGGTGGGTCTGGTGTTCAGTGTGGCAGGTTGAACGGTGTAGAAACCAGGAAATCCATCGTCAAGCAACTCTGCAAGGGTTCTATTCAAATAGGCTAGGTTGTGGCCTTCCACATCTACCACACACCCACTCCCCTATCTGGCTTGAAAGAAAACGTCGCCTTAAATAATGTACATTTTTTTTTCTTATGTAATTTTTAGTTTCTTTTCAGCAGATCTCTCAGCGAAAATTCAAGACAGATCTGCTTCTTTTTCTCAAGGTTGCACTGTATTAGACTCACATATGGAACTGTGCCTCCCATTATAAAGCATGGTTATTTTGGGTGGGTGATGTAAGTTTACATGAACATGGTGCCCTGGAAAGGAATCTTACAGTGAATCCATTTATTTTGATTTTTTTAATCACCTTATTTGAAAGGCAGAGAGACAGAGAAAGAGAGAGTGAAATCTTTCATCTACTGGTTCACTTCCTAAATGCTGGCAACAGCTAGGGTTGGGCCAGGACAAAACCGGGAGGCAGGAACTCCATCTCGTTTCCTGCATGCGATCCAAGTACTCAAGCCATCACCTGCTGCCTCTCAGGATGCGCCTTAGCAGGAAGCTGGAACAGAAGTAGAGCTGGAACTTGAATCTATGCACCCCAATACGGGATGTGGGTGTCCCAAGCAGCATCTTACCTGCTGTACCAAAACCACCCGCAGTAATTCAGGAGGTGCTAGGCCACACTCATTGCCATTTCTTTAAAAATTTATTTTTTAATAGAAAAATCATAACTTTTTTAAGTTTGTGAGGGTAGGGTTTACCGTTATTCACTGAGTGTTTGAAGCGGAGCATTCACAGGTTGCTTCCTTCTCCTATTCCTACAACGTGACAGTGGGTTTGTCGTTGGAATTACACAACCAAACTGTTGCTTCTCTGATAGGCAATTGTAGACTTGGACACAGCTTTTGACGGTGAAAGCCCACAAACAATTTTCTTACTCTATCAGGCACTAAAGGAATTTGATCTGCTAAATTCTTACATTGGCACGAGTTGGGGCTTAATGACTGTTTGTGAAATGACTGAATGAATAAGTAGAATTTTAGAGCCTTGAAAGGACCTTGGAATTCTAAGCAGATGTAATAAACCTATTAGTGAAATTTCTTCTGCTTCCTTGTGAATCTACAGAGATGATATTCCAAAGTGGATGTAAGCCAAGGACTTTGGGCTTATTAAAAACCCTTTTCATCTCAGTTTTTTTTTTCCCCAAAGTATACTCTGCACAAGCAAAACTCATTTTGCATACTGTAAAACCAGCTCAGGAGGTCAAGGTTAGTGAGCACATGGTAGGCTGAACTCTACATGATGTGGGCTCTTAACGGTGTTACTCAAGCTTAAGGTGTACACGAATCTCTGTGGTTAAACTAGGTCTCCTTCATCAAGAACAAATACTAATGAAACCAAGGATGATGTTTTGTAAACCTTTCAGACTTTATTTTGATTTTAGAAATCTCGTGTCCCTGCACGTCCATAAAATTCACTCTTTAATTTCAGCTGGCCTAGAAATATCCTTTGAGCTGCCTTTCTTGTACTCACGAGCCCTTGCCTTTGGCTGAAACCGTCAACTGCAGAATCACACCAACAATAGCTACAGAGTGGTAAATGATCCCAATTCTTCCTCAATCCCAAAAGTTTGCAATTTCATGTTAAAGTTTGAATCTGGGTCAGTTTGAATTTCAGTTGAACTGGTTTAGCCATCCTGAGAGATTAGTCCCTAAGAGAATTCCTGACTTATTTAAAGGAGATGAAATTAAGAGGGAATTTCTATTAAGTTGTATGAAGCCTGGAGAAAATAGATTGGAGACAGAGAGAGAATTCTAAAATTCTGCACACACATCCGCAGATGTGAAAGCAATAGATAGCTGGGGAAGACTGTTGCCGTTCTTTTTCTCTTTGATTTTGTATCTGTTGATTACCAGTGTGAACCATTTTCTGAATTTCTCTCTTCTAATCAAAAAGGTTCAGAAAAAAAGAGAAGAAAGCAAAACAAAATAAGAAACCCAAAACCTTTCCAGCAGCCCTCTGCGTTACTTCTTGTTGACAAATTCTGTGGGGAAGGACATAGCCATGAGTTAGGTTGGGTCTGACTTTAGTGTCAAATTGGACACTAAGGAGTGAGTGTTTGGCCTTGCTGTTGGAGCCTTGCTTGGGATGTCCACACACCATATTGGAATGCATGGGCTCGAGTCTGGCCCCAATCCCCATTCCAGATTCCTACTAATGTACACCCTGGGAAGCAGCCTGTGATGGCTCAAGTAGTTGGGTCCCTGCCACCCATTTGGAAAACCTGGATGCAGTTCCTTTTTCCTGGTTTCAGACTGGTTTAGCCCTGGCTATTGCAGGCATTTGGGGAGTGAATCAGTAGATGGATCTCTGACTAGCTGTTTCTGTCTCCTTGCCTCTCAAGTAGAATAAAGTAAAATTGAGCACTAAGGCCTGAGAATGGATTATGTTTGAGCAAGGAATTTGCAAGCTTTCTCTGGTACTAGAAAGTCCTCATTCATTGTGGTAGCCTCAAATGTCACCTTCTTAACAAAGAGTGTCCTTAGCCACAGAACACAGACTGAGGGGGAATGCACTTAGAAAAGCAATAATGGTGGTGAGGATGGTGAGGATGGTGATAATGATGACAAAAAAGTTTATTATGTGATGGACATGACGCTCAATGTGGTTTGTCTAAGTTCAATCCCCGTATAGTAACCCTGTGAGGTAAGACTATTTACAGTCTGTTTTATAGTCACAGAGACTGAGGCTTAGTGGGGTTAAGTAATTTGTACAAAGTCACTCCACTCATCAGTGACAGAGTTGGAACATGATCAAACATATGTCTGATTTGTAAGCCCATAGGCCTACAAATATGTTAAAAGCAGTTAGTAAGAAACATCAAACTCATAAAAAACTTTGGAGACAATGGAAAGATATAATTATTGTTAAAAGTGCACACAAATGCGGCCAGCGCTGCGGTACAGTGGGTTAACGCCCTGGCCTGAAGCGCTGGCAACCATATGGGTGCTGGTTCTAATCCCGGCTGCTCCTCTTCTGATCCGGCTCTCTGCTATGGCCTGGGATAGCAGTAGAAGATAGCCCAAGTCCTTGGGCCCCTGCACTTGCATGGGAGACCAGGAAGAAGCTCCTGGCTCCTGGCTTCAGATTGGCACAGCTCTGGCCGTTGCAGCCATCTAGGGAGTGAACCAGTAGATTGAAGACCTCTCTCTCTGTCTCTACCTCTCTCTGTAACTCTTTCAAATAAATAAAATAAATCTTTAAAAAAAATGCACACAAATGAACGAACGTAAGTACCCATTTATGATTTTTGACTTCAAAAGCCTCCTTTTTAAATAAAATGATTGAATACTAGAACCATTTTTTTTTTGACAGGCAGAGTTAGACAGTGAGAGAGAGAGACAGAGAGAAAGGTCTTCCTTCTGTTGGTTCACCCCCTAAATGGCCACCACGGCCGGTGCGCTGTGCCGATCCGAAGCCAGGAGCCAGGCGCTTCCTCCTGGTCTCCCATGTGGGTGCAGGAGCCCAAACACTTGGGCCATCCTCCACTGCCCTCCCGGGCCACAGCAGAGAGCTGGACTGGAAGAGGAGCAACCGCGACTAGAACCCGGCGCCCAAATGGGATGCCAGTGCAGCAGGCGGAGGATTAACCAAGTGAGCCATGGCGCCGGCCCCCATTATTCCCCATTCTAACAAACCTCACACTGAAGGAGAATAGTAGTTCTCACAGGCTGCTTCATGCATTTCCTGTTAATTTCTAAACTATACGAAGTTTGAGTTTCATTGCAAAAGCAATGGCACCTGAGTCTCAGTTAATACCCAGTAGTAATGTTTCCTCATGTATATACTTTTTAAAAAATGTAGTGGTCTTAACATGCCTCCATGAAAGCTTGTGTATAAATATTCACAGCAGCGTTTTTCATAACAGCCAAAGGTAGAAACAAGCCAAAGGTACATCAGGTGATATTTGGGTGAACAAAATGTGGTATGTCCGTACAGGGGAATATTACTTGGCAAAAATAAGAGGAATGAAGTGCTGATACACGCTACTACATGGATGGACGGTAGGTAAGTAAAAGAAGCAGTCACAATAGTTCATGTTTTGTATCATCTCATTTATATGAAATGTCCAAACTTGTCAAATTTCTAGACAAAAAAAGATTCCTAGTTGCTTGGGACCATGAGAGGCAGTGAGGAAGGAAGGAGAAGTCACTTCTTTGGGCACAAAATCTCTCTTAGGGATGACAAAATGTTTTTACGTTTGGTGATGGTGATTTTTGCTCCATTCTGTAATTACATTCAGAGGTAACCAACTGTACAATTTAAATTGGTTAACTTTTAAGGCATGTACATTATATCTCAATAAAATCTGCTTCAGATAGTCTTATGGGAGTGATTTATTAATATTAGTCATGGTTATAAATGAGAAATATTCTAGATGTTTGGCTTTTTTCTTTTTCTTTTTCTTTTTCTTTTTTTTTGACAGGCAGAGTTAGACAGTGAGAGAGACAGAGAGAAAGGTTTTCCTTTCCGTTGGTTCACCCCACAAATGGACGCTACGGCCAGCGTGCTGTGCCGATCCGAAGCCAGGAGCCAGGTGCTTCTTCCTGGTCTCCCATGTGGGTGCAGGGCCCAAGCACTTGGGCCATCCTCCACTGCACTCCCGGGCCACAGCAGAGAGCTGGCCTGGAAGAGGAGCAACCGGGACAGAATCTGGCGTCCCAACCGGGACCAGGACCCAGGGTGCTGGCACCGCAGGCGGCGCTGGCCAAACCTTTTTCTTTTGAGTATCCATGTTCCCCTCTGTGTCTCTGCAAGCCCTATACTGAACTCCAGGAAGAAACTTTGTTGATTGCTCTTATAAGATTCTTTTTCTCTCCTGCATTGTGCTTGGCAGCTATTTGGTTGACACCTTTCTTGAGTCAGGAGCCCACACACAGAAGTAAAATTGAAGCAGCAGCACTCACCTTCAATAATGTGCTTTCTTGACAATCCTCTCTCTGTTTCCGCTCTGCCAAGAAAGAGAAGTAAATGGCTTTGAGTAGAGAGGTGTGTGTGTGTGTGTGTGTGTCTGTGTGTGTGTGTGTGTGTGTGTGTGAAATCTGTTTCAAAAGCATAAAAAATCATTCCTACTTAGGCTGAATTGCTACTCTCTACCCTGTTCTCAGCGAATTCTGGAGGCAGGAGAGGGAACACCGAGTGAGCACTTTTCTTTGGAGACCCCCGGAGATGAATTAGCCATGACTGTCACCACACCATTAATATCGCTCAGCACCAGGTTCAAGCTAATAACAACTCAGCCGTGCACACCTTGTCCATATGTAATTTGAGGCACAGTTCAACTTTCTCACCTTGCTGGTAACCTGGCCAAAAGGAAAAAAAGTGACAAGATTGGCAGGCTATTGATCTCTTTACCATTTCTGAGAAAGGAAGTAAATTTGAAAGTGTCTTGGCCTTTAAAGACATTTAACAACTATTCCTTTAAAATGTAACACATCCTGAAAATAGACAGACTTTCATGATGAAGGCTTTTGCCTCTTGGGCAATTCTCAAGCTCTGTCTTAATAGAAAGAACCTTGAATTTTAAAGAATTGATGAAGTGTTTATTCAATATCAATCTTTGATAGCCTCATTGTAAAATAGTAGCACTGTGACTGTACCTTTATCTGTGTCTTTTATATTAGATAATATTGGTATAGTACTCTACTTGCAGAGTGCCCAATTTCATGTTTATTTCTAGACATATAAGCAAGTTTTGTGTATCATTGCCAGAGCATCAAGCAATGACACTGCAAATCAAAGCATAGATAACAAAATCCACACTTCTCACTGGCACTCTGTTGCTTCATTTTTATACAGACCATGACAGCAATGAAAATCTAAATTCCATCTTTCTGTCGCCATGGCATTAGCAACTGGCTGAAAAACAACAGAATACGAGTGTGTGTGTACATACACATATATTTTGATTAAAAATGTTGCCTTACCATCTATAGGGAAGTAAATAAGATTTGTTTGCTTTTTTTTTGGTTAAGATTCCATCATTCTCTGAAATTTCCTCAAAAAAGCACAGAGTCAACAATTGCTCCAGTACATGGATTAGCTTGATTTTTTTTAATATAATTCCCACTAATCAATTTAAGTACCAGTTCAAATATTGGCAGGCTGGCCCCTTAGGAGCCCATTCAGCCCGTGGAATTCTCTCTCCACTCCACAAGAGAGGGAAGACTTCCTTTTCATTTTTCCTGACAGCCAGTGACACAGGTAGCTCCTGTCACTCTCCAATGAGGTAGTCTCTTTTGGAGCCCGCTGTAGAAAATATCAGAGGCTTACTTGTGGAGCCAGCCAAGATATTTTTATCTTTGCATTCCGTTGAAGTCTCTGAGTTTTGGCAGATTTGAGTGGTTTTCTTCTGTGATGCCTTGTGCTTATTTGCTTTTCCTGGAATTTGAAGTCTCTTTTGCAAATGGTTCTAATATGAGTTTGGTATTTGAAAAATCTCAATGAATCACTTAGTAACAAGTGACCACATGCTTTGGAATAAGTTTCTTTGAGAGTATCTTGTAAAAATGGAATCATAGGCTAACTGCTATTTCCTTAGAGTGAAAAAAATCTCTCTGCAAGGCAATTAATTTCTTACATTAGCTATAAAGTTGTTGCCTTCAAGGATAAAAGCATGAATGATTAGTTGTTTCCTGTCTGATAGAGAAGATAAAAAGCGTTCAACTTACTTTCCACCCCAGTAGAGCTTGGTTGTTATGACCAGGCTGGACCTCCTGTGTATCAAACAGACAAACAGAAAGAGTAAATAAATTGCAGATTGTAGGACCTATCATATTATTATTATAGCACCAGAAACAAGTTGCTATTGTGTTCCACATTTAAAAAAAATCAGTAAGGAGTTAAACTTGTCGGTTCATGTCATCGAGATGTAAGGACAATGGAGATCCAATGGGCAGGGTCTTGAAGCCAGATCTTAGAGGAAGAGGTTGATGGGAAGTGACCTTTGGCTGGGGATGGAGGGTGGAGCTTGAGGAGGAGGGCGGGGGAGGCCAGCTTGGAGGGATAAAAATTGAACATGGAATGTAAGTGAGATGACCTAGAGGATGGATTGATTATCTTGGTGGCTCAAATTAGCAGCCACCAGTTAACACATATTTGCCATTTGACATAATATCAATTACCCATGTACTTTCCCTGGGATGAAGTCCAGTCTCTGCCAAGGACCAGGGACCCTACAGCCCTGAGATATTATATCCTGCACCATCACATTCATGGGCAGGAACTCACTACATAGAAACACGAATGATAAAGTAAAATATAATGACCAATAAATGTTGAGAATAAAGAGGAAAACAATTTCTTTGAGTGCCTTATTAAACAGTCATGTCACTTTAGGAAAAGAGTCTTCAAGTCTTTAACTCAAGGCTCTACCACCCGACATCTAAGGGAATGAAATGTGGGAATCTTGTCAGGAAACTTATTTCCTTCTCTAAGCTACACCCAAGGGCAGAAAATGCAATCTTAGCATCATGGTCAAGGAATACAAAATAATATGTTTTGAGAAATATAGGCATCTAATTTAAAATTGGGAGGCAGATCTCAGAGCAAGTTTGTTTCTCTAGATATGGAACCCAATTGAATTGGTCTAGAAAAAAAATCATTTAGGCCGGCGCCGCGGCTCACTAGGCTAATCCTCCGCCTAGCGGCGCCGGCACACCGGGTTCTAGTCCCGGTCGGGGCGCCGGATTCTGTCCCGGTTGCCCCTCTTCCAGGCCAGCCCTCTGCTGTGGCCAGGGAGTGCAGTGGAGGATGGCCCAGGTGCTTGGGCCCTGCACCCCATGGGAGACCAGGAAAAGCACCTGGCTCCTGGCTCCTGCCATCGGATCAGCGCGGTGCGCCGGCCGCAGCGCGCCGGCCGCGGCGGCCATTGGAGGGTGAACCAACGGCAAAAGGAAGACCTTTCTCTCTGTCTCTCTCTCTCACTGTCCACTCTGCCTGTCGGAGAAAAAAAAAAAAAAAAAAGAAAAAAATATCATTTGCTCATATGTGCAGGAGGGTTAAGACCAAACTTTGGGAGTATTTGAAATAAGGCATTTGTAATTCCATCAGCACTGGACTCCATACCTTGGGATTCTCAGGTATAAAAGCCTAGTGTGATTGCTGATAACCAATTGGGGATGACAGGGACAGCTCTGACAAGTTGGTTGTAACACGAAAAATTTGTTGAAAATGTTGGCAACCCCATCCTGCACAAGTTAATTCCCTGAAAAGTAATTTGAATCCCTGTAATGGAAGGTCTACTGATAAATGCATCTGGAGATTACATATCCCAAATGGGCTGAGGTATTTTGCAGGTTAATCCATCAACTTGACGATACTTATTATTATAGCAATCTGCCACAGGGGAGTGAGGTCTCCTTTAGCAAATACTTTCAACCTTCAGCGAAAGCTGGATGGAATGGTATGAAAAATGAGCGCAGCCCTTTTGATTATTCGGAGCTGTTAGGCTTGCCAGAGCTGCGCATTTTACCCAAACACCACTAGATGCTTATTTTCCCAAAGTCAGGCTTTCTGTAAATTGTTGGCCCTTTATGGGTGTGCACACTAACATTTGCGTTCAAGTGGCAAGAGGAGACAGCAGCCTGGCAAATAATCGCTGATTCAAAGGCAAGGTCTTCCAGGGACTCCTCCAAGGCTGAGGAATGATAGTATATTTTCCAGCGATTCAGCACAACCTTCCAAAACCAAGGAACCTTGTTAGTGAGACACTTCATGCACAGTTAGGCCATCCATTGTACAGATGGGGAAACTGAGAACCGGTGAAGTAAAGCAGCTTGCCCTGGATCACAGCTAGCAGGTGGAGGCACCGAGGCCAGAGGGCAGCTGTGCGGTTGACACAGCATTTACAGGCTCAGTTATGTAATGATCCTGTTGATCTTGTCACTCGTCTCTAGCGGGAGAATGGGAACTGAAATAAGCAGGCTGCTGTAAGGTGATAGGGAGAGTTTTTATTTGTCAGACTGAAAGGCAGTTTGTGAAATACACACATCAGTCTATTTTCTACAAGGCTCTGCCACTCTGGAGAGTGATTACATGCTCTCTGGGTGTGGAGAGAGAAAAAAGCTAGGGTACTATGCTTCCCCTGCTTCTTCAGGTGTGCTTGTGCAGTCTACACTTTGCTGCACCTCTCACCATACTATTGGTAGACTTGGCACACAGGTTTCTGTGTTAAATTATGGGGGCTGGCACTGGGTGTAGCAGGTAAAGCCACCACCTGTAGTGTCAGCATCCTATGCGGGCGCTGGTTCAAGTCCCGGCTGCTCCACTTCTGATCCAGCTCTCTGTTATGGCCTGGGAAAGCAGTGGAGGATGGCCTAAGTCCTTGGACCCCGGCACCTGCGTGGGAGACCTGGAAGAAGCTCCTGGCTCCTGGCTTCGGATTGGCCCAGCTCCTGCTAGTGTGGCCATTTGGTTAGTGAACCAGTGGATGGAAGACCCTCTCTCTCTCTGCCTCTGCTCTGTAACTCCACCTTTCAAATAAATAAATAAATCTTTACAAACAAACAAACAAACAATAAAAGTTAAATTATGTCCCAAAAATGATATGCTAGAATCCTCACCCTGACTACAGTAGACTGTGAGCTTATCTTAGAAGGAAGGTCATTGTCGACGTAATTAGTTACGATGAGATGGGTCCTACTTCAGTATGACTGATGTTCTTATAAGGAACCACACAGACACATATGGTGAGAAGGCTGTGTGATGACAGAGGCCAGGTTGACGGGCCGCAGCTGCAGGCCAAGACTTGCCAAGGCTTGCTGGCAGCCACCAGAGGCCAGGAAGAAGGAAGGAAGAATTTCTACCGAGAGTTTCAGGGAGTGCATGGCCCTGTCAACACCTTGATTGGACTTCTGGCTGCCAGAACACACATCTGCTGTTTTAAGCCACCTAGGTTGTGGTGCTTTGTTGCAGCAGCCACGGGTAACCGATCCAGCCCCTAGGTGGGCAGTGATGGATGGACTTGCATTCTGGGTGCCAAAGTAAGCCAGGCAAGCTAGAAGACTGCATGGAGGTGTGAATTACTTTCCAGATTTAAGGTTAAGCTTTCTTGTAGCCCCCTTGTTTCCTGGAGTAGAGGAGGAGGAAAGGAGATAGGTCACCACATTTTCTTTCTTCACATCTGCACGAATGTTTGGGTTTCCACTTCCACAAGGCCCTCTGTTCCTAGCAAACGTTTATCTCAGAGTGAAGAATAAGAAGCACCCAAAATACACGGGGCTCTGTTCTACCTTTCTCATTTTTGCTCCCAGAGGGAGCTCAAATGACGTGTGCAAAGGCGGAACAAAGTCTGTCTTGGGACTGTCCTTGTTTCCTAGGTGAAGTTGTAGAAGATACCTGCTGAGTGTGCATGGTGTGTGTGCACCAGAGAACAAAGCTCGCTGCACAGCTGTCTTCACTAGTATCAGCCCTGTTCTGACAGCGCCATCCCAGATACTATGCCGGAACACAGGAGGACCCTGGGCTTGGCCGGGTTCTACTCCTGCTGGGGGACGGTAGCTGTGGTGGCTGAAACTCATAGAACTTCACCCCCTCCCTACCCTGGCTTTAGCTGCAGAAGATGATGGAATGGAAATGTAAGCACATCTCTGAGTGTTTCTTGGAGACACAGCTCAAGAGTAACAGATGCAGCACATTTCTGAATGCCCAGATACTGGATTTCTAAGAGAGATGCTGGCTAGTTGTGTTCAGGTAAGAAAACCTTGGGGTATTTATCCCCAGGGCTTCTTCGTGCATCATTTCTCTGAACCCAGAGTTGTTAATAAAATGAGCAGCAAACATAAATATACGAGTAGAGATAATCAGCTTCCTGCGATTTGCTTCCTTCTTCAAATGACCACAAATGGCAGTGATAAGCCATGAAAATGTCACTTTCTGTTCTGCGTCAATGTCTCATGAACACTCCCACCTTCTTTTCTGCTCAGCCCCTCGGTGATTCGTTGTCATCAATGACTAGTCAACAATTTTCAAAGCACCAGCAATGAACTCGCTGGCATTTAGCCTCAAACCACTATCAGTGATTTCTTTACCAATATTTGATGTTTTCTGACAGCCTTTTGGCCCTGTTTCGTGTGCTTTCAGCTCCCTTCTCTGGTGCAAAAGCAGCAAGTCTTAACAAATAACAAAAGGATTACGGTAAATGCAGTACCTCCAGCCTTTCTTCTTGATGATGCTGCCCAGAATCACTTCAGCCCTGCAGAGGGAAACGGATCAGGTCTTAGGATCATGTCCCAGAAAAGCAAGAGTCAGTCCAAAACCCCAGAGCCACTGCTTGTTTGAGCTCTCGTGTGCCTACGGATCCTGAAAATAGAAGCCGCTCTCGGCTGGTAGCACAGTTTCCACTGTTTCTGCTTTGCCTGCAGAATCCTGCTTGGGAGCAATCCGGAGGCACCTGCCAAATCCCGCCATGCTGGCAGGAGACCACCTGCGGTCCTGGTACTGAGAAGCAGCAGAGTCATTTGGCAGTTTGGTGTTTTTGACCCGCTGATCCCGTGTGTACATGTCTTGCTTGTTGGTGTCTGGTGGGAGTTAAGGTTTCCTTCTAATTGCTGTGGAACTGCTCCGTTGTGACTGGGGAGGACAGTGAGACCTCACGCTGTTCAGGCAGAACTAGTGACCCCAGGTGATGTTGCAGGATAAATGAAGAAAGTGGGTGTGGGGTTAGATATCCCTAAGGCCAGGGCTACGGATGCAGTGGCCCAAATGGAGAATGTCCTGGGATCCAGTGACAAACTCTGTCATAAGATCAAGGACAAATACTGAAGTGTCCTTTCTGTCCTGAAGGCTGGGTTGTGGCGAGGTGCACTGAAGACATCCCAGTCGCCACTTCCACCTACCCTCCTGGCTCTCAAGATTGAGGAAACTTTCTTCCCTGTGCCTAACACCAACCTTATGTGAAGCTTCTGGGCTCTCAGAGGCTTTGCAAGTGGGAGACTAACAGAGGTAGTCAGCACTTTGCCCATTAGGGTGTCACAGATGGGAGACCCTGCTCATCCTCATTTGTCTTGACTTGAAAGCTTGGCCTTTGTGAGGGGCTACAGCCTGCGATGAATTGTGATGCAAGTTGTAGGCTGTGCCCCACAGTTAGGCACTGGATGCTTCCACCTGTCTGCTCGACTGTTGCCATTGGCAGTCTTGCATTTCCCAGTGCAAGACTCACTCGCTGACAAGCAGTCAATAACGATCAAAGTGGTCAGCATTCACAGCAGGAATACAAGCAGGACCTCACTTGGCAAGGCCACACGCACCTGGATTGAGGCGCATGAGGCCTGCAGGGGACTACGCTCCGCAGTCTCCTCAGAGAACTGCAGTGCCACTGGAGCAGCTATCTAGCTTATTTGGTTCCGGGAGCTGGACATCTGTGTTCCTTCCAGGAGGCGAGGGGTCCCTAGATCTACTTTGAAATGTGCTGACTATGCTGGGACCTGGATGGCATGGGCCTCTAGTCCTTGCCCCAGGCCACATTGCCCCTGGGTTCTAATGAACCTGTCCTCCGGCCCCTGACCTGCTCCTGGCTCCAAGGGAAGGAAGCTGCTAGGTGTGACTCTTACAAAAGAAATGCAGTTCTCTGCAGTGCTCTCCGTGCTCAGAGTGGGCTCTGAAATGACCTTGTAGGAGAGCTACTGGGTTTCTGGGCATCTTTGGGGATCCCACCTTCGATGTCTAAGCAGCCTGTAATGCCAGGGCAGACACTGGCGAACAGGAAGAGCAGGCCCTGCTTGCCCACAGGGAGGGCAACCCAGTGGCATTATGATTGGATATGCTGGATATATACATATTGGATATATATATATATATGTACATGTATATGTGTATATATATAGGATAACCATCTTGGAATCTGCTCACGCATTTACTCACTTGTATGTTCAGCTACCACCCATCTCCACCACCACTACTCTGGAGCCAGCTGCCTGGGCCCCTCACGGAGACCATGGACATTGTTTCTTGATCCTACCTCCCTCCAATACATTCTTCACAAGGGACCAGTGGCGGGAAAGATTGGGTGGGCAGAGAGGGCCAGAGATGGTCAATGTCCCCAGTTCTAGAGGTTGGTAGGGAGCAGGGTCCCCGACGTGTGGGGGAACAGCTGCCTCTTCTCACTAACACATCAAAATGGGCTGGACAGACAGGCTGTCTTATGTCCACAGATGCCACCAACAGCTATGGACTTACTTTCCAGCGGCATAGACCTCAGCAGTGTCAAAGAGATTAACGCCACTTTCATAGGCGATGGTCATCAACCGTTCAGCAACCTGCGGGGGACATGAAAGGAGGCTGGTCAGAGAAGCCAAGGCCGGAAACCCCGCCCAGCCACTCCTGGTTTCTTGCAGTTGCAGTGAAGAGAGAGAGAGCAGCGGGCTGAGCCCATGGAGAGAGGGTAGAAGGAACCTGTTCACAGACACGGAGGGGGCCCCACAGCATCACCCTCAGCACCGGCCACTGAGTCTCCCCTCAGATCCCCGTGAGATGGGTGGATTTGCCTTTCTCACTCTGCAGGGGGAGACTTTGTTTGACAACATTCTCTGTGGCATCTTTAGCTCTCTGATAAACAGGTCAATTGTGTCACGGGTGACTCCCTTTCTTCACTTCCTTATCCAAGCCAAGAGGTTCCGGTGGCTGGGTAACTCTTGACCTGAAAGCCTACGACCTTTCCTCCTTGAGGTCAAACAGACGGTGCTGATGAGCCAAAAGTCACACGGAGGCGTGCTGGTTTAGAACTCCTGCCACTCACAGTTTTGCAGAATCCAAAGCATCATCACGGAGTGGCTGCTGAATCAACACGGAGAGAAAGGAGCCTGCGAGAGCCCTGACTCACCAGGGATCCAGCTCCCCACCGTGGAGGCTGCAAATAGAACTCCTTGTGCTACTGAAGAAGAAGTGGCAAGTGTGGCAGAGAGTTAGAGGGACAGCTATAAGCAAGAGCTTGAGGGATAGCTTGGTGGGATAGCATTAAGCAACAGTGGAGAGCGGCTGCTATTCCATTTTGCTGATTCACTTACTAGTTTGAAACATGCCACACCGCACCCGTAATTACAATTGATTTTTCCCTTATGGTTTTTGATGGTGGGCTGAAGTTGCTTCATTGACATTTCCAAGGTAAAATATTTTTATGTTGTTTTGAAAATTAGCCTACCTGGAAAATGTGTTAGGCCAGTAAAATGGAGTCCATGCAGACCCGTTAGCATAATGTCTTTAATTTGCTACCGTGAATACATTTGTCCTACCTCAAGATTAAAAGCTAAGTCTAGTTTTTCTCACCATGACTGTCCTATGTTTGAGAAATTATTGTGCGTATGTTATGCTATATGACATACTAGCAGATTATCACCGGGAAGTATGCACAATTAAATCTTAGCTAGAGGGCAATTTTAAGAAAAGATGGAGAATTCTAGATGGAGACTTGGACTGAATGATGGCAGAGATGTTTTCCAGCCATGAGATTGGAAGACTCGGATGTGGAAGAATGAAAAAAACAAACAAACAAACAAAAAAAACACTGAATTAAGTCTGAAGATTGATTTCCAACCTGAATGTCCCACTTATTAAATAAATAAACTTTTGCAAATCATTTGACCTCTCTGTATCGTTCAAATGGGAATCTGTTCAGGGAACTCCTTGTCCCCCAGGGAGTTTGTAGGCTACAGAGGAAACTGCCCTTCACCTCCCTCCAATGGGGGCCTGAGGGCCTGAGAGGCAAGGGGTCAGGAAAAGTCATGTGACACATCCAGGCCAATGAAATGTGAGGAGAGGTTTGCTGAGGGCTTTGGGGAACATGTTCCCCTTCAGAATTTCTGGAAGCAGCACTCTTCCTGAAGTATCCATTTTAATGGAGGCACAGGATTCCTGCAGTTGTCTTACAACCCGAGGAAGAGTGGATGTGCCAAGGAGCACAGGGCTGAGAGAACTCCTGGGAAATGGGGTTGGGGGATCCCCTGAAGTTTGCTGTACTTCTGTTCTTCTAGTTTCAAAGTCAAAATCATTTTTTTCTCATAGGGTAAGCCCATTTGAGTTGGGTTCATTGTTGCTTGCAACTAAAGGCAACCAAATTACCTTACGGATGAAAAAAATATAAAGTACAACTCTGAAAATTACGTGCTATAAGATGATAATACACTCTTTCCATTATTTTTTAAAAATTATTTTTCATTTATGAACATCTACCTTAGTTTTATGGTGATGGCAAATTATTTTTGAGAGACACCCTGCCAAGTGATTTAATTTGGTATTTGAATCCTTTTGATGATGTTCCAGCCAAGAAATTATTCAGGATATGGTTGGACTCTGCCAGGTATGGAAACATCACCTCCTGCTGAGCCAGCAAGGGGAGTTGCATCACTCAGCACATTATGGTGTGGTCATCCCTGTTATCCTATATTTGTACCTGCTTTGTGTTGCACTCGTCTGAAGCCAGAGAGGAAATGGGAAAATGATGGGAGGTCAATTTATTGCTGTTGGTCTGCAGCTGTCCTACATAGGACTAGGTGGGCTTGAATAATTCAGCTCTGGTGTGCCTGGGCCTGGCTGTGCCTCCCTCTCTTCCCCTTTGAGCCCTCTCTCTGCAGGGATGTGAGGAAGGCCCTAACTGCCTTCTGGAAGGACAATACCTATTTGTCTGGTCTACATGTAACAGGAGCACCTCTGCAGCCACTCATGACTGCCTCATTGTATGGTTTTGAGATTTGGAATTCTGACATGATTCATCTCAGGCCAGTCCTGCACATGCTGACCTGGGCAAGCTGGGCTCATTGCACTGGAGAGCAGACAGCATGAAGGGGGAATGGTCAGTTACAGTTGGCCTGTCTGTTCTGAAAGGGAAGATGCTTTTGTCTGTTTCCCTCCAAGCCCTGTACCAGGCGGTAGTGGGTTATACACATGCTGGAGACAATGGATTGCTAATGTTAGAGCTCCCTCCTTCCTTGCCACTTATTTTGTATCTGATTTAAAGCCTGGAGCCTTTGCTGTGTCAGCTGTAGTTTTGCCTCCGTGCCTCCTCCGTACACTCCTACCTGATGCCAATCAGCAAGCCCTATAGTGAATTATGTGATGTGCTACCCAGTTCCTCCTTCAGAAACAAAGAACTTACTCCTCCAGCTGCTGGGAATGCTGCCATTGAATGCCCTTCAGCTCTCTGGAAATTGCATTTTGCTAGAGTCATCTAGCCCAAGGTCAAGCCCACTTCCAGGTCAGCCTCTATCTAACGACTGGTCTACAGAGCTACAAATGCCCAGTCCTCTTGTTCCAGCTTGGGACAACTCTGCAGGACCATCTAAAGCATCAGAGCTTCCCATGGGGTGAGCCAAGGTCATTGTTGAGACTGCATCTTGACCTGCTCTGCATTGATCCCAAATTAGCTATAGTGCATGTTAATTTGCATTCAGAGTCTACTTCTCATGGAATCTCCCCATGAGACCAACTCTGTGGGATGACCACTACCCAACTCTAAGAAAGGCATTTAGGCAGAGAAGAATACAGTTAAGGACCCCTTACCTCCCTGATCTATTCAATGCCACGGGTGACTGGGAGCTGTGGGGAAAACCACCACTGCCCCAGGTCCTTAGGAATGAAGGTAAGAACTACCTTTTAAGTTGAAGCCCTGGCCTAAGGCGCCTGCATCCCATATGGGCGCCGGTTCTAGTTCCGGCTGCTCTACTTCCGATCCAACCCTCTGCTATGGCCTGGGAAAGCAGCAGAAGATGGCCCAAGTCCTTGGGCCCCTGCACCCGCCTGGGAGACCTGGAAGAAGCTCCTGGCTCCTGGCTCCGGATTGGCCCAGCTCTGGCCATTGAGGCCATTTGGGGAGTGAACCAACAGATGGAAGACCTCTCTCTCTCTCTCTACCTCTCTCTGTAACTCTGTCTTTTGGGTGGATAAAATAAATCTTTTTTTTTTTTTTTTTAAAAGAACTACCTTTGTATGAGATCTGTTCTGGGCCAGGCACCAGAACACTTTATAGGCATCATCTCATTAATCTTAATTGTGGTCCCGTTGGGTGGAAGGTATTTCCATTGTACTGATGTGGTGTCTGGAAATGTTAGTAAGTTGGCTGATCAATGGTGGTAGCAGAAATGGATCCATCAAATGAACCCACTCAGACACACTCTCTGACTCCTCAAAGGCCTAGCAGGATCAAGAATAGTCAGATGGACTCGAGGCTCTTGCCCTCTAGGGAGTTCTTGACCTTCCATGCCTTTGTGGCTCACTTATGCCATGAAGATACTCCTTAAAAATCACTGCTGTGAAAGTGTAAGCAATGATTTAAAGGGATTTAATGGTAGATATAATTACTGTAGCTTCCGTTTGTTGAGTGTCCGCTACCCACTGGTAACCACTAGTCAGAGAGTTACATGAATCTATGGCCTGTGTGATATATTAATCCTTGCAACAGAGCCTCAAGGTCAGCATTGTCATCCCATTTTACATAGGAAGAACTGAGGGTCAGAGAGTTTAGATTAACTTGGAAGCCAGGGTGACCAGCTGCCTGGTTTGCCCAGGCATGAGAGATTTTTCTCGCAATGTGGGCTTCTAGTGCTAAAACCAAGAAGGTCGTTTGCAAACTGCGGCCAGCTAATAAATAAATAAATAAGCAACTTTAGCAATAAAATCTTTTCATAAAATGGCTAATATTAATTCTAAGTTGCTGCATTCTGTAAACATTGAACCTGCACATATAAGAGATTGACAGCTTCAAGGGCTATTAATAGACTACATGTGAAAAATACAAGAGGCAAGATAAAATGGAGAATAATCTTTGAGTCAATGTTAACCATTTCCTGTGATCTAAACATTATCTCTACAAGAGGTTAGCATCCCAAGAAGCACACTCCTACTGCATAGCTTTCTCCGAATTCTCTTTCGTCAACACGGCGGAAGCCTGGATAACTTACCTCATCGGAAATTTGACCTCCAAATGTCACCCATGTTCCTAGAAAAGAATAAATATTTGAAAATTATTCATAATCAGTTTTCTAATATTGTGCTGTGCATAACAAGAGGAAACTCTTAGGGGGACTTGAGTAGGTGGCTCTGTTAGTTCACCAAGGTGCCCGGATGGGGCACAGGGAGGCTGCAGTCCAGTCTGCCCTCTCACTACGTTCCCGAAGGGGTCTGTGTCCCTGTGGAGGAATGGAAGCCTTTTCTCCACTCAAAGCTACCAGCTCTGCTAATGGCAGTCTTGTCCCAAAAGATGCTTTTTCTTCAGCTATAGGACCAAGGATGCTGGCACACAGGAAGCCGGTGCTATTCGGCCCAGTTCGGCTGCACACCTGTTCTTGCTCTCATTTAGGTAAGAAGCCACCTGTTTTAAAAGTGAAATTAAGACTCTGGGCCATACCTGTTCCTTTTTGCCTCCAGTAAGGGGCTCTATTTTTATATTCTCTGCTACTTCTCAAAAGGAACTTTCTCACAGAAGTCCTAATAGTCTCCCCTTGTAAGACCCAGGAGGTGATGCCTATCTACTCCAGAATGGGACTCCCCATTGGGTTTGGGGTGCAGAAGGGAGCAGCAGCTGGCATAAGGACAGGGGAGGGAGAGGGAGCCAGGCATCCACAACAGTCCAGGATTTGCATTTGTAAAACAAGAGGGAAGCGGCCAGTGCTGTGGCACAATAGGTTCCCATAGGCACTGGCATTCCATATGTGCCCTGGTTTGAGTCCTGGCTGCTCCACTTCCGGCCCAGCTCTGGGAAAGTAGTGGAAGATGGCCCAAGTCCTTGGGCCCTTGCACCCCGGGAGACCCAGAAGAAGCTCCAGGCTCCTGGCTTTGGATCGGTTCCGGCTGTTGAGGCCATTTGGGGAGTGAACCAGCTGATGGAAGACCTTTCTCTACAGAGTGTCTTTCCCTCTCTGTAATGGTACCTCTCAAATACATAAATAAAATCTTTAAAAAAAAAAAAAAGAAAACAAGAGGGAAGCAGAAAGTGAGTGGCTCTTAACGCTCTAGTTTCCAGGGACCTCATTCATTCATTTCCTTCTTTATCCATTTAAAAAGTTTTACTGTTAAACATTTACTTCAAAAACTGAGCCTTAGAGCAAAGGAAAGCAAAGTTCATATAACAAATGTATGATACTAACTTGGAGTTGTGAATAATTCCATTCCAGGTAATGGCATTGCACCCACATGCTAGGGATAATGAAGGGACAGCTGGCTGCTGTCTCACGGTCGACAATGAATACGGTGTGATAAATGCTGCGACAAGGCTGACCCAAGGCAGTAATGGAGGGGCTGTTCTTCCTGGACTGGGGGGAGCTGGCACCCCAGAGAGGCTTCTTAGATAAATGACACCTTGACTGAGTCTCACAGGAGAGAGCCAAGCAAAGAGGGAAGGCAGAGGCAAGAGCATGGACGAGACAGGAGGTAGAAAACTTTAGGGCATGTGATAAGCTGTGTGTGGGCTATTGGACCCAGGGATGAGACAAAAGTGCAGACCACGAGAGGTGGGCAGGAGGGAATGCAACTAGGGCCTGGGCTCAATTTGTGGGGGCTATTTGTGGGGGTGTGCAAAGAGATGCTGTTGGAAACTTATAGCTTGCATTTCATAGTAACAGTCATGGCCGTCTATGGAATTCCTCCCACATGCCAGACAGTGTGCTTAGAAATTTTCATCTCTATTCATTCTGACAAACTCACAAGGCGATTTTATTATCTGCATTTCCAGATAAAAAAAATCTAACATAAACCAAGCTAATACACGAAATGTCCAGAAGTCCCCAGATGTGCCTGGTCCCAAGAAGAGCATCCTTCCTACCAGGTCACATTGCTTCACCAGAGTCTTTCCAGGTTAATTACGGCACTTGAATTTCATATTCCATAGAACTATGTTACTGTAATTATCTTTTCTCGTGGTTCTCAGGAAATAAAACAAAGGTAGGGCATAAATTATTCTACTGCTACACTCTATATCCCCAGAGGTCGCCCACATGGAGCTTGCAGACTTGATTTGCTTAACCACAATACTGTTGATTGATTTGGCATTTTAATAACTTTTGAGGGCCAGGCATTTGGCACAGCAGTGAAGAGGCTCGTTGGGATGTCTACATCCCATACTGGAGTGGTTGAGTCCCAGTTTCACTCCAGATTCCAGCTTCCTGCTAATGCACACCTGGGAGGCAACAGGTGGTGGCCTAAATACTTGGGTCCCTGTCACCCACTTTGGAGACCTGGATTGAGTTCTTGGTGGGTGCTGGAGGAGTGATCACAGATGGGACCATGCTCTCTCTCTCTCTCTCTCTGCCTTTCAAATATAAGTAAATCAATTTTTAAAGAAGATGTATTTATTTATTTGAAAGTCAGAGTTACACAGAGAGAAGGAGAGGCAGAGAGAGAAAGATCTTCCATCCACTGGTTCACTCCCTAGTTGGCTGCAATGGCCGGAGCTGTGCCGATCCGAAGCCTGGAGCCAGGAGCCTCTTCTGGGTCTCCCACGCGGGTGCAGGGGCCCAAGGACTTGGGCCATCTTCTACTGCTTTCCCAGGCCACAGCAGAGAGCTACATAGGAAGTGGAGCAGCTGGGACTAGAACTGGTGCCCATATGGGATGCCAGCACCGCAGGCGGCAGCTTTACCTGTTACGCCACAGAGTAAGTTACCAAAACATTAGGAGATTTTTCTTAGAATTTTCTGATTTCCAGGCCAGTGCCATGGCTCACTAGGCTAATCCTCTGCCTGCGGCACTGGCACACAGGGTTCTAGTCCCAGTCGGGGCGCCAGATTCTGTCCCAGTTGCCCCTCTTCCAGCCCAGCTCTCTGCTGTGGCCCGGGAAGGCAGTGGAGGATGGCCTAAGTGCTTGGGCCCTGCACCCGCATGGGAGACCAGGAGAAGCACCTGGATCCTGGCTTCGGATCAACGTGGTACGCTGGCCGCAGCAGCCATTGGAGGGTGAACCAACGGTAAAGGAAGACCTTTCTCTCTGTCTCTCTATCCACTCTGCCTGTCAAAACAAAACAAAACAGAATTTTCTGATTTCCAGCTTCTCTTGGAAACAGAGAGCTGATGTCCCCTAAATCTGAAGGGCAGCCCCTACTGTAGAAGAGCTATGGCCTCCCCAGTTAAAGCCCCGCCCCCATCCTGCTGTGTATCCCCAATGCTGAAATCAAACAGTAGTTGTTATGTACACCACATGCTTACTACCAGTTTTCTTATTGTAAATAAGGAAAAGGAAGAAGAACTTGGACATCTAGAAAACACAATTGAGTATATTTCTGAAAATCAATATGAGTGTCCCTACTTTTCAGTGCATGGGAGGAATATCCAAAGAATGTTTGCACTGAAAAATTGCATCTTCAGGCACATAATACAACCAGCCATGGCTGGTCCACAGGAAAAATGAGCATTGAGAAGCTTAATGGACAGAGAAATGGCAGCATTTGCTTTTGAATGAGAATAAAATAAGCGAGCCGCTGTGAAATGAAGTTCTTTATTAAGTGAAAAAATCGCCTGGGCAACAAAAGCTTTTTACAGACAACAAGTTTATAGAAGAGTCTCTTTTGAATGCTGCAGAAATTATGTGTCCAGAGCATAAACAGGCATTTGCAAATGTTAGTAAAGCAAGCAACTCTAGCTCAGCGTGCTAAAAATACGGCTAAGGAACTTTTAGGACAGGTTCAATTATTGGTGGCATTTTCTACTGCAGCAAATGAGAACGCAGATACCAATAATAGCACACTGTTAAGCTGTCTTTATGTGTGGGGTGGTGAAAATTTTGAAGGGACCAAAGAACTTCTGGACGAGGAGCCCATGAAAGGCAAAATATCCAGAAGTGGCTCACTTTGTGCAATGAACAAAGGTCTCTGGCCATTTGGAAGTAGAATCTGCTGGTCAAACACACTGTGTTCCTATACACCGGACATGTGGGATTGATGTGGGGCCTGGTAGGCAGCACACCAGACTTAGTGCTCTTTTGTAGGGATAGCACATTAAAGTCCATTGATTTCCTCATTCATCAGGAATTGCTTTGGGCTAAAATGAGACAAGTCACAGATTCAGTAATTAATCCCACAAATTGGCTACTTTTTTATGTCTTCAAGCAAAATCAAGTCAGTATTTGCTTAATGAGTTTTCTGGCTTACTTGCACGGTGGTTTTATAACTGCTCCTGTCATCAAAGGCAATAGTTCTACCTCCACTTGGCAAAGTGGAGCTTCTTGCTGATGCTACAACTCATCTACACTCTTCGAATGTTTTTCTACTGGTGCACTCACAAGTATCTTCACAAATGTCTCATTTATTGTTATTGGCCCTGACAAAATCAGTCCCATTTGCTAAGGAGAAAGTTGATGTCACTTTCCTACATGCAATCCAGAAATGAAAATGACAGCTTGGAAAACTTCTCTGATTTCAAATTTTATGAAAATAAATGAACACTATTTAGCTTACCTTTCCTAATTTCTGTTAGTACAAATGAAGGGCTATATTTGAAATTATTAGACTGTAGTACAAAATAGTATTGAAGGCTAAAATAGGACAATGTTGAAGGCCAAAACTGAGCAAACATCTTGGAGGGGCTCATGCTACGCCCAAGAGCCATTTACGGTGATTTCCGGCTGCAAGGCCTCTGATGACAGGGATATAGGCGGCACAGGGTCCACCCATCACCCTTGAGGAAGCCACCACTGACAGATAGGACTCATTGCCTCCTTCCAGATGGAAGGAGCTCTGTTTTTGTGATTTTCTGTTCTCTCCTGCGGTCCCTTCCACAAAAGCCAGTATGGTTTATTAGTTAATATGATTCTCTACAGCCATTCGTGACAATGTTCCTTATCATTTTCTGCCTCTAATGATTTTCTGCCTTGCTAGGACTTGGATGGTATATGATTATTTCACTGTGAAATCTCAGATTAGTGGGATGTCATTTACAAGACAATTTTCCTAAATGGACACTTGTTATTTCTAATCTTTCCTAAGTAGAGGGAGTAGAAAGAGAATTGTC